TCTGTGTGTCTGTGTGTGTCTGTGTGTGTCTGTGTGTGTCTGTGTGTGTCTGTGTGTGTCTGTGTGTGTCTGTGTGTGTCTGTGTGTGTCTGTGTGTGTCTGTGTGTGTCTGTGTGTGTCTGTGTGTGTCTGTGTGTGTATGTGTGTGTCTGTGTGTGTGTGTGTGTGTGTGTGTGTGTGTGTGTGTGTGTGTGTGTGTGTGTGTGTGTGTGTGTGTGTGTGTGTGTGTGTGTGTGTGTGTGTGTGTGTGTGTGTGTGTGTGTGTGTGTGTGTGTGTGTGTGTGTGTGTGTCTGTGTCTGTGTCTGTGTGTGTGTTTTTACTTGGACGCTCGGCCAAGCTAGTAAGTGGTAGCCACTTGAATCCACTTACGGGAAAGGGGGGGCGACTCAATCATATAACTTACTATCTTGGACGAACACCCAAGCAGGGGAGAGAGGGTCCTTTTGGGGAGGGGGTGAAACCAAAGGGCAACACCTCTGTTTGAAAGTCAGTGGCGGGAAGAAAACCAGCTGGACGTCTACAAGGCGCAACATCTTGCCAAGTCTTCCCGCCTTTTGGTTATAGCCTGCAACCAGGGTTCCCTTTTTGTTTCCCTCACATCAAAAGGAAGCTCACCCGAACTGGCCGAGGTGCGTTCAACCCAAATTGAACAAATCTCGGGACTGACAACCAACCGGGTGTGTCTTTTGATGGGGGGCCCTTCTTTGTGGCTTTTGAAGGGAAATCAAAGAACAACAGCCACTCTTCTCACGTCTGAAAGCTATGGAGGCTCGTTCGGGGTGGTTTGGGGCTTTCAGGGAGGGTTCAAAAGGAGGGTTCCAGCAATTTCCTTGGCTGTTGGGGGACACCACCAGTTTTTTTCAGACACCCAACCCACTCGCATGGCATGTCGGAGCCCGCCACTGTTTCCCTCTTTTTTTGGCATTTGTTTGTATTGTTTATTTCATTGTTATTTAATGTATATATATATATATATCTCTTTGGAGTTGGTCCTCTAAAAGAGACGCCCAAACGCACCTCGCGTGTCATTTCGGGGACCCACCCGAGGCGAGCTGCAGCCCCGTGGTGTGTCAAGGCTCGGAGCCTTTTGGGCCCTTCATGGAGATCACCGCGGTGCAGCAGCAGCACGCCGCTGGGCTCAGGGGTGGCGGAGGCGGAGGTGGGGTTGGACAGGTGCAGAGTTTTCAAAGGAACCCACAAAGGGTCTTTCAAAGGGTCCCCCTAAACAAAAAATGCGGCTCGAGTTTTGCGAGGCAAGCCGGTGAAACCGCAGGTCCTTCGGCAAATCTGGCGTTCCTGTGGTCGTTTCATTTGGGGGAAAACCCGCCTTGCGCCTTGCGGTTTGACCTGGGCCAAGAAATGGCTCAGGTGCACGCCTTTCGTTCGAGACAGCTTGTCAATCGTACGCCTTGACTTCTTTTGTCAACTGGCAAGGCGTCAAGGTGCCTGACCCATTCGGTGAGTGGGTGAACACTGAGCTCGGTGCAGCGCACTCGTTGTTCCAAAAGCAAGCTTTAAAAAGTTACAACATGTTCACGTGAATGGAACTTACAAAACCCAGGAGAGATCATATTTGACCCGCTGAAATTGGGCCCCTGTCCTTTTGATCTTTCCATGGTGGCCATTTTTTTCGTCCCAAAAGGTTCACCTTTCATTTCCATGTCCTTCGGCCAGTCCCGCAATCTGCAGGCAACCCCTGGGAGTTGTCCTTTGGAAACCCTGCGACCGTTGATGTTGGACGCAGGTTTGACAGTCTCAAAGGGACCTCTTGAAAAGGGAATTCACATCACGGTTACTCAAAGTTAGATTCGGACCCCCTTTCGGGTGGTGCTTAAAGGGACACAGTTGCGGCCGCCTTCTTAATTCTTGAAGCATGGTTCTGGGTAGACTCATGGTTGATTCTTGAAGCATGGTTGATTCTTTAAATGGTTCTTTGCATGGTTCTGTATACGTGTTTTTTTTTGTACCGGGTTTTGATTCCTCAGGTCATCCGCGAGATCAACGGGCAGAGCCCCCGGGACCTGCTGCTGCCGCTGCTCAACGGGCCACAGGTGCCCGGCACCGGCAGCTCTATGGCAGGCCCTCGAGCCGATTGGGTTTTGGGATCGGCGAGCGGAGTTGATTTGGCGCCCGGGTTTCTCTGGACATGGCCCGCGGCAAATGGGGAGCTCGCATGTTTTTTTTTGGGGGGGGGGGATGGCATCTTTTCTCTCTTTTTTCATTTTTGAGGGGGAGGGGGTGGTTTGACTTGGAATGGTGCGGGTTTTCTTCTTGGAGACGAACTCTCAATGCTGTTGCAACTTCTTTCTGGATAAGGCCGAGTTTTTGTCCTAGACCTCCACAGGTGACCTTGTTTCGGTGGGTTGCGCGTTTCCTTTGTTCAACTTTCAGGTTCATGTTTCCGGGTCAAAGTTGGGGGTGACAACACGCCTCCAGTGAGGAGGGGCTTTGCCCCTGTTATGTCCATACACAGTAACCCGGCGTGCTGGGTTTGACCGCACGGCCTGAAGAGGGGCTCCTCAAAGGAAGCAACACTTAGATGCTTCAGTTTGGGGTTCCCGACAATTCCCTGCTGAAAATGAGTAAACCAGCAAAAGCAAGCCGGTCTTTACTAAACGAGCAACCAGAAGGGGGGGGTCCAAAACAAGTCATACACCCGAAAATTCCTCAGTCCCTCTAAAAAAAGGGAAGCCAAGAAGAGCATGGCAGGCATCTTCGTGGATCCCAAGCCTGAGAGCGGCGAGCATGGCGCGACTTGGATGCGAACGAGAGATTCGAGGGTGAGGGAGGGGGATGGGGAGGGAGGGAGGGGGAGGAAGGGAGGGGGAGGGGGACAAAAACGGGGGTCTTTTTTCAGGATTTGGTGCCCCCCTGCGATGGCACAACGGTGTTCCTTTTGGTTTCCCTTTGAAACCCGCCAAACAACGGGGAACACCCAGAATCAGAGTTGTCCTCGTCCCCTGACAGCCACCGAAAAGGGAGTACTAACTCCAAAAAAAGGAGAGACCCATGCGATGCTTCGTCCTGTTGTATTGACTCCTAGGCAACTTGCTAGCGGTTGAATACGCCCCTATTGAATCCTCTTGTTCCAACACGGATCATCCACCTTTGCGTCCGGAGTGTGCGGTTCGTGAAATCAACCTTCCAAATAAGTGTCTGGTTTTGACTCGCGGAGCCCGAAAAATACTGCTTCAAAGGAACACCAATAGGAAAACCGAAGCCATTCTGCGGTACAACCTCACACACACACACACATATCTTCCAAAATAGAAGAGCAGCCTTCAACTTTCTTTTTGGTAGGAGGTTCTTGAGATGCATCCGTGATCACGCTACGTTGAGCCTTGCAAGCTGTTTGGCCCAAAGAAACTGGGACTTCTTTTGACATCATTCGACTTTTTCAGGTTCATTAGATACGGACCAGAATCAATCAAGACTAGTTTTTGTTTTGCAGCAAAAGCTGCGGTAGATAAAGTGGTGCCCCAAACTTGGCCCTAAATGTGAAGCAGAGAAAGGTAGAAGGGGGCCAAATCCATTTTCCGAAACGGAATGGTCAGAAGGTCAAGCCTCCTTCGTTTCGTTCCGCGTGACACGGCGTGACCACGTTTCGAGACGCGGCCTCATGGCTGAGGCTCGATCATCGGACCCCATGGGTCTGATTGGGGGTCTCCTCTTCGAAATCTTAAAGTCATTTCGCAGAGAATGACAAGCCCTGAGGTTATTAGGGTCTCCACCCCACGGTAAGCACCTGGTTTCAGCTCCATGAAATGCGCCAGGAGAGAGATGTGCGCAACCTTTACTTGACAAGTTGACAAAGCCCAAAGAACATACAGTAAACTTCCATTTGCTGAAATGAATATTCGTAATTTCCCCCTTTTAGTTTTGAAGGGAATCGATTTCACTACTGAACATATAGTTTTGTTTTTCCCAGTCAGGGGTCTAAACCAAATGAAAGTAAGCCGAAGCTGGTGGCTCCCCAGCCATCCGGTTCCTTAGCTTAGCCTTGTAGTGTTTAGTGGCTTGGTTTCCGTATTTGACCCACTAAAAGTTAGTCACTCTTAGCGGGGGATCTGAAAACGGGCAGCCCAGTCAACAAAAGCTGCGTGGCGAGTGGCGCTTGCGGCGCCATGGCTGTGAAACTGCAGCATCGAGGATTAGCCCAGCACCACGCTGGACTCATGAAGCAGTCGCGGGACTTCTGGAAACTCGGGGAGAGGTTGGAAGGCCATACTGTGGATGGTGGCGAAATCCATTTCGCACCACCGTTCAGAAACCCTAGAATGATACGATTCCCCTGTAAATACCAACAAACAATGGTTTCCCATTGCTTCTAAGTGGTGCAGGATTTCGTCCATCCACAGTAATTAGCTGTTCAGAGTTCAGCGGGATGTATGACATACCTTGGATGGACGAAATCTTCTAAACCAGGTTTACCCCATGGATAGGGATTCATCCATCCCAACTAGTACAGGATTTTGTACATTCACGGTACCCCACCTAAGATATTTTAACTTTTAGCGACGGATCAACGCATCAAACCAGGAAACTTGGTGGTTCCCAGCCATCCCCTTAGCTTTTTAGCCTTTTAGTGTTTAGTGGGGATTTCCTTTTAACCCACCAAAAGTTAAACTTTTAGCGGGGCAACAACGCATTACCAAGGAAAGAAGGCCTCTTCTGTGACGTTGCGCTGCGGAGCTGTGATGGTGCTGAGCATCGTGCCCACAAGGTGGTTCTATCTGCAGCGAGCGGTTTTTTCAAGACTTTGCTGGGCGGATCCTTTTTGGAAGGGGAGCAAGTTCAACAGGGGCAGCCGGGTTCCAATCGCTGCTTCCCATGCAGCGGTGTCAGCCCTGCTGGACTTTATCTACGGCGGTCAGCCCGAGGTGTCGGTGGAAGATTCGATTGAGCTTTTGACACTTGCGGATGCTTATGGACTGCCAAAGTTAGCCGAGACAGTTGAGAATGGGCTCCGTGCTGCTCTGAACAATGCGTCTGTGGCCACAGCGTTGAAATTCTTGGAAGAAATCCAGCGATTGAAGGCAGCTGAAGATAAAGGCTGGCATGCGCTAAAGGCTGTTTGCCAAGACAAAGTCACCGCGAATTTCGAGGCTTGCATTCTGCAGCCTGACTTTCTGAAGCTAAGCGCTACTCAGCTAGCCCAAATCTTGGAAAGAGAGGACTTGCGCGTGGCTCGAGAGGAGGTGGTGTTGAAGGCTGTGCTGAGTTGGTTCGATGGCGTCCAAGACAGGGGAGATGACGTGTTGGGGTCGCTGCTGCCACACGTGGATTTCCCCTCCTTCTCGTCCGAAAATTTGAGTCGAATTGCCACCTTTGCTTCATCTCTTGGCGATGCGCACATAAAGTTGCAAGTTGATGAAGCTTGCAGGATCCACAAGAGGAAAAAGGAGCCGTGAAATACCTCATTTTTCAGATCCACGGGATTTTGTTCAGTTTCTTCAGCCATTCCGACCAAAGAGGCGTTGCTTGCAACATTGGTCGCCAGAGATGGGTGCCATTACAAGGCAGAATGTGGGTTGCATACCCTGCCGTTCGTTGCGTTGCCACTCTGGCGCAACAGATTCGGATGGCCAAGTGCTGTCTTGGAAACTTGGTACCAAACACCCAGTAGTTGTCGTTGTAGGAGAGGGGGCCAGAGTAGCCGGAGATGACTTGGGCGATTTTTGTAAGATGTCCATCCCCCCTGCAGGCGAGATATATGTATCTGATATGCGAAACAGCAGACTCGTCAGTTTTCAACATGGAAGAGGAGAATTGGTCATTGATGGTGTTGAAGGCTTGGAGGATGTGTTTTGCTCGGCCAAGGGAGTCTATGTTTTGACTCATCGTGGACGAGCAGTGCAGAAGTTGAGTGGTTCGACACTCCAAGCTGTTATGATCAGTGAAAATCTTCCTGCTGAGCTTCAATTTGTCGCACATTCCTTGTTTGTGACCAAGGAGGAGATGATTTACTTCAGTGACACGGAGAACCGTCACATTCTCTGCGTTGGTCCGGGTGAGATGCGACCTATCATAATGGGAGTGGTGCCTGACGCGAGTAGCCGCCTGGCAGGACTCCTTGTGACGGAAGGTGGGGCAATTTACGTCGCTGACTATGAACAGAACAAGGTCCTCACCTTTCATCCAGGCGACCCCACCTGCCATGACGCTGTGAGTGTGGAGGGTCCCCTGGCAGTCGTGCTTCATGATCAAGCGCTTTTTGTAGGCGGAGAGGAAGGAGTCCACAGATATTTGCTACCTCCGAAGCTGCAGCTGAAGTCGACTTGAGTGAAAGGAAAAGGGATGAACTGTTCCAGCGGATCATCCCCAGCTGCGCGATGGATGGCTTGCCACATTCCTGAGGTGTCCGTGGTTATGTTTTTGCGCATTCCTTTGAAGAAACCTCTGGGCTCGAAATGCGTTGTTCACAACCTTATGTATACTTTGTGTCGTGTCCTCCGTTCTGTAAATTGACGGGGCACCACTTTCCTCTTTCCTTGGTCATTCGGTTGCTTGGGGATGCTTCGGGAGATGAGCTTGGAGAGAATCATTTGTAAAGAGGATACCAAAAAGGGCCCCTACTTTTGACAAACCTTCATTTGGGTGATTTTCAAAATATGGTTTGGCCCCCTAAGACGGCTGATGTCCTTTTGGTTTCCCTTCAAATACCAGCAAGAGGGGGATGCACCGTTTTGAGAAGCAGGCGTAGATGAGACGCTTAGGAGAGACTTCAAAGTTTCAACCGAGTTTCCTGACACAGACAATCTCACCTCCTATCCTAAGACATAGATATTTGTTTCTCCAACGTCCGATTTTTGTGCTGACTGCTTTGGGACATGTGTCAAGCTTGACGAGTTCATGATCTACACCGCGCGAAGCTTGAGAAACTGAACAACATGTTTTTTTGCTCAGAGCCTTCCAAATTGGGATGCGGCGCATGGACTGATTTCTTCATGACATGTTTCAAGGAATGAAGCTCACAGAAACCACATGTCACCAGTGAAACAGGCATGGTGTAGTAGCCTACTTGCCGGAGGGCAGGGAAGAGCCAGATGGTGTGGGGCTATGTGTTTTTGAGGGTAAGCGTTTTTGGGGCTGGTTGAAAGCGGAACCAAAAAGGAAGCCACTGTTTTGGGGGTCCACCTATTTTGACACATTACCATAGAGAAGACTTGGCTTGATTCATTGATTCGCAGAAGCTTGCCGTAATCGCTGCTCGCCACTCCATTTATATCGCACTGTACGCGATGCATTTATCTTCTTTCCTTTGGGAATCAAAGGGAGCATCTGTTGCCAAGTGAAACAACATGCACATTTTTGACAGGCAAGGAACATCCAGAAGTGATCCCTAGTTGCCCTAAGGAAGCCAAAGGAACATGACACATGTGTTTACCATTTTTGCAAGCCCGATGTCCTCCTTGAATCATGGAAACCAGCTACAGGAAACAGATGCTAGCTTCCTGTAGCTGGCTTCTTCGATTGAAGTGAGAACGGGTGTCATTTTTCCAGTCACGCCGCTGTGGCTTTACCACCTTACCTTCAGTGGGGGGGGGGCTGCCATCGAGGGGTATGTAGAAGTATGGGCTTTGGAGGAATCCAGGTTCTGTACCACACCTGTCAGCGGCAATATGCTGCCGTTTCCAGCTGATTTTGTGTGGCATATAAGCCTCCATCCTCCACAGCCCAGTTCTGAGAATGCACTGGATACCACCTTCAGTGGGAGGTTTTCACCCGGATACTGGTCCCGAATGGCCCCTAGGCACTCTTGTAGTCTTTCACAGTCAATTCGGCTGCACCGGCTCCCCTTGTTGTGGCTTATGTTGGCTTATCAGTAAATATCTCTGTTTGCACTTGCCAGCTTTTGACTCTTCGACCCCCGGACATGGATTCGGCTTTCCTTTTGGTTCCCTCGAAGCCAACCGCAAAAACCACCGGGGGGGGGGGGGTGACCGGGGCGACGGGGCGACCGGGCCGACGGGTCCGCCGGCTGTCCGAGTCCTGGACGGACGCCCACCTCGCCGCAGCAGCGCTGGGCGGAAGGCCCAACTGCCGCGGCCCAAGGATGTGGGTGGGGTGGTTGGTGGGGTTGGTGGGGTGGGGTTGGTTGGGTGGTTGGTGGGTGGGGGTATCCTTTCTGCCTATTTGGCAATCTTCGGACCTTAACTTTCTAGTTGAAACAGGTCGGATTTCCATTGGACCCACAACAAGTTCAAGCCTTTTCGCGCAGGGGCCAACAGCCACCAAGTCTGGGGTTTGTACTTGGCTGTTCATTGCCGAGCAAGCAAATGGTGGGTAACTCAGCTTATCAGTCTCCCAAGTGCACTTAGCCTGGTTGCAACTAGGTTATCTATACTTCTATACCACCTGCTTAGCAACTCGGCCGAACACCTTTTGGTGGCAATTTAGTTCACGGCTTTCAATGAAACCTAGCCAAACAAGAACTGCTTCATGGTAGCTTTAGCTCTAGGCGGGTGGTTTAACCCAGTTTTCCTTGAGCATCCATCCCAAGCTCGTTTCACCCTGGTAGCCCAGGCTTAGGGTTTAGGGTCTTTGTTTTGCCCTCCTGGTTTTCCTTTCTGGTTCCCTTTAAACCAACCTGAAAAGGGTACCTTCACAAAACACTCATTTGATTTGATTGGGAAGCACAATGCTTCAGGCTCGCGCATGTTTTGCCATGTAGACTTGACCTGAGATGGAATCATAGCAAGCACTGGTGAAAGAAGCAGCCCCTCAATTGCCCACAGGTGGAATCAGAACGCATCTTGCAGCATCTTGGTATGCCCAGGATTCGCATGGATGTGGGGCCTACACTTTTCTGGGGACCCAAAAGCCTCCCGCGGGTAGAAAAGCTTGGGGTGGTCCATCGGAATGTTTGAAACTCGAGTGCCCCGGTTATTGCGGTTTTCCCCTCAAGACCATCCCAGGAATAAAACGAAGGCGGATGAAGGAGGTGGACCAAGCGAAAACAGATCTGAACTCCGGGCCCGAGGCCTTTCACGTCCCATGCACGCCTTCACGCAGGAAGGCTACTTAGTCTTGCGCGGAGCCTTAGAATGGGTTGCAAGGAATCTTGGGCAACAGGTTGATGGGTGGCTATAGGTTACATAGATAAGGCCAAAGGCTGTAGTTTGGGTTATAGCACAGCCAAGAAAAGGACCTGAAGAACCGTGTTACAGCCACAAGTCAACAGGTTTTGGTCACTGGGGTTGTGTTGTTTTGAGGCTCGGCACATACCCAACGGGATTGGGGTTAAAGGCAGCCTACAAGAATGGGGCCCTATTTTGACACATACCCAACGGGCTTGCAAACTTGAAGGTTTAGAGTTCTCCTTTGCATAGGTGATATCTCGCTTGAACTTCAACCACTTTATCTTTCCAACTGCACGTCTGGCACGATGTTATGCAGACGGTGATTCCGAGTCCCAAAAGTATTTTTGTTGGTAAAACTGGTTGAATAAGAATTGATCATTTCGAGTTCTTAAAGATGCTGTATCCAACATTGAGCTATAACTCCATGTAGTTGCCACAATTGGTGATCAGATGCGAAAAGTTCTCATCTCGGTTGGAACCTTCCAAAGTGCGGTTTTTCTCCAAGCGGCGAACTCCGCACAAGGTTTGGTGTATTTGTTGGTGTCCCGCAGGACACGTGGCTCGCTGCCAGACACAACAACGCAAAGTGAGGTATGTGTCACATGTCCATTTTCAGGTTGAGATTTCCTTTGTTGAAGAACCTTTTGTCAGGCTCCTTCGAAAGAACACGCTGGTGCTGTCGAACTCGAGCTCGTCGGCCCATGGGCGAGCGAGTTCGAGGTCGCCCCTCACGGACATGACGCCGTACGCCCCAGGTGCCTGGCTGCAGATTCGCGAGCAACCTCGGATGAATCTGATGAAAACCCCGGAGAAAGAAACACTCCCCTATATAGGGCGGCGGGTTCTACTTGGATCCGGGTCAACATAGGATTTGTCAAGAACCTGTGGAGGCAGACAGGAGGGCTGAAGTGGAGACGAACGGAATTTAAACTGGTGCAACTCCCTCAAACGTGATTCGGGATCTTTCGAATCAGGTGCCCCCCAATTCAGCAACCAGGGGTGTACTGGGTGATTTGGATGTTTCATCCCACTTAGTAGGATAGAGCTTATTAGCATGGTCTGAAGGAGATACTTTCTAAGTTGAACATCCAAGGAGCCTTTCTTCAGGAGCCTCACAGAAAGGTTCTCAGAACCTTTCGAGCAGACCCCCCGAGAAGCTTCGATCAGAGCCTTTCCTGGGAGTCGCTTTAGATTCCTCCGTTCTCATTCTGGGGCAGTGCTCCAGACGGTGTTTTCCAACAATTTCAGCCAGGGTTCTACTTTTTGACTGCCCCATGGAGAACTCCTGGGTTTAAGTCTATCTTGGAATAGCCAACAAGTGGAACCCTGATTTCAGCAGGTTCCATCGACCGTCACCTTAGGGGACCGTGATCACAGGGTCTTTTGCCTTTCGCCACTAGGGAAATCCAGACACAGATTCTGCCCCATTAGGGACACCCTTTGCGTAGGTGTCCGTACCCTCGAAATGAATCTATGTTCAACCAAACTGAGCCCCACATGTCAAGCCAACGATATGAGAAAAGGGGGACAAACTTGGCTGGATCGCCCAAAACGGGCAGCAACGGTTCATGGCATCAAGAGAACCAGAGGCATCGCTTAAGTTCCAGAGTTCGAGGGGTCCCAAGATGTCCAAGGTTGGCCGCCCCAATTTGCAGTCACTCCAAAATCGCTTTGCAAGGTGTTGCCATTAAAAAGCCCCTGGAACCCCTGCCCGAAAAATATTGCGGCGTGTTTTTTGGCGGGCCTGTCGGTTCGGGGGTGAAACGAGCGATTAGCCATGACGAAGGTTCTTTACTTTAGGATCCAACTCTCATTCCAGGTTTGGGGATGACAATTTGCATATATATATGTATACATAGCCTACAGCATTCTCCTTTTACCACGTTGAGTTGGCCCTTTGGAGGGTTCCAGAAGACAACATTATAAGATTGTAGCTTGTCGTTCATGCCCCGTCAGGCCACATGTGAGTGCTCTCCATTGGAATTTATCGATATCAGGCTTGAGGCAGGGTTGGACATCAATCTTGAGTCCTATGCCAGAGAGTAGTTCTTTCCCTTGTTGTAGTGGTGTGCCGCTATGGATTACGGATTTGGGAAAACCATGATCCACCATTTTGAACGTCCCTATTGTTTTTGGTGCGTGATTCTTGTTCAAGGACCAGAGTCTACCTTGTTTCCAGATCCTTTGCAGAAAGAGATGTGTGTATGTGATTGTCGAGGACACCCTTTCTTCAGTTGCCTGAAAAGAAAATTAAGATGATACCAAAAGGTAGACTTGTTTGTCCCGGTACTCCTGGAAACCAAAACATTTTTAGGTCCCAATACCAACGCCATACCATGGGTTATTCCCCTGCAAACTCACATGATTTTTTTTTGTTTAAACTCGAAGAGGGGGGTTCCTTCCGAAAAAAAGAAAAAGAAAACAAAGGAAACGTCAGGAACCAAAAACAGGCGCTTCCTCTAAACCCATGAAGCTTGTGGGTTCTTAGGGCTGGTCTTACTGTGCATGGACAGAATCCTGCACCAGTTGGGATGGAGGAACCCTTACACGGATGACCACCTACAAGTAGGGTTTTCCTTAAAGGAAAACATAGGGGATGGTTGATAGGGGTCATTCCAGATCTCATTCCCTTCCTATCGCAGCAAATATTTGACTACCCCAAGATAGACTTCAACCCAGTGCTTCTCCTTGGGTAATGAACCATCCCTGGGTTCAAGTCCCTGGTCAAAAAGAGGAGCACCAGCAAGTCACCCATGACGCATACTAGATACTAGGATAGACCACCTACAAGTAGGGTTTCCCTCAAAGGAAACCATAGGGGATGGTTAACACTGTGCATAAACAAAATCCTGCACCACCTAAGAAACCCTGGAATGATGATTCCCCTGTAAACACCAACAACCAATGGTTTCCCATAGTTTCAAGGTGCAGAATTCCGTCCATCCAGAGGGGTCATTCCATGTCTCCTTCCCTTCCCAACCCGCACCGGCTTGCCGCCCATGGGAGCACCAAGCTCGATGGGCGCCGCAGGCATGCAGCTGCAGCTCCAATGCTTCAGCCCACAGCACGCGGGGCAATCCCAGACCCCCGAGTCAAAATCGAGTTGGGGAACTGGAGGTTTGGAGACACGCCAACCTAAGCCAATGGCATGCGAATGACCAGTTGGCCCGTTTTGGACTTCTTCTCTTTTCATTGGAAACCAAAAGGAACGCACCTACCTGGAGTAGGGACCCCTTTTTTGGACGGTTTCAATAGGAAACCAAAAGGACACCAGCCAAAGTGGCTTCGGTGTTCCTTTTGATTTCCATGTAAATCCACCAAAAAAGGGTACCAACTCCAAGAAAAGACGAGCCACCCATATAAAGGGGAAGTCTGTTTTGTCTTTGCCTTCGCCCTGCGCGAAAGCTTCCCGATGGAAATCGCGAAAGGTTGTGTTCTGTTCGCTAAAGTTTCGTGTAAGGGTGGTCTGCTAAAAGGAAGATGGACTGATAAACTGTGTGTGTGTTTGCCGGTGGTGCGCGCAGAATGCACACAGACTAAAGTTGGTCGGGGGGAACACGGCCTGAGCATTGCCGCAAGAATATGCCGCTGCAAAAGCCGCCCCCTGCCGATGGCAACTTGTTGGATTTTTGAAGCGTTTGGGTGCAGTTGAGCGCAGCTTCCCGGCCGGATGTTCGATGTTTCAAGCTCTGCGAAAGTTCCGCGAAAGTCGATGGCACCTCCCCCCAGTTTTGGCGGACGTTGGTGGCTGTAAGGGGTCCCCTGTGCTGCTGCGCGCTTTCGAGAGCTGGGCCTGAAGAGCATGCCGTGTACCACTTTCATACTGCAAAGTTGCGACTTTCGAGCCGGGACGGAAGTGTACTTTGTGTACTACCTAACGCATTGTGTACTGGATGTTGTGCAATTAGCCCAGCGAAAGCTCAGCGAAAGCTCCGCGATGGAGGTCGCGAAAGCGATTTTGTCCGACGAAGATGGTGTTCCCGATAGCAAAGAATTTCAGACAATCTGACACACGGAACCAAAAAAGCCTACCCATTTGTAGAGGAGACTCCTTTTGGGGGACCTTCGTAAAATACGTTTTGGGGTAGACGAAATCTGAAGCATTGGGGTTCTCTTTGTCCACAAAACCAGGTTCTCTTACGAAGGCACCTGACAGGTGCTCTTTGGAGGTGTCGGGGTCAGAGAACGGCACATGTCCTCGAGAACAAAGACTATTGGGTGCGTTTGAAGCACGGAAAATGAGAATCTCATGTCAGTGAAGTTACGGTTTTGATGAAGCTGTGATGCATACAGCTTTGGCAGTGTTTGGACCAAACGATCCCCGATCACCAGGCGCCACTTGCGCACAAGGCAAGTTGTTTGGGCCTTTTAGAGTTGCAGTTTGAGGGGTGGTCAAAATGAAGCAGTTTTCGGGAGTTTCTCGCCCGGGCGATGGCATTTGGAGTGAAACCAAAAGAAAGCCGACGATTTTAGGGAAGAAACCCGTTCAGAGATTTCACTTTCATGGACGAGGTATCTCCCCCTGGCAGTCACCTCCAGCACAGGCTTTGCGGGACTTGCGCTCGCGGGCGGAGACTGTGCTTCAGCTGCAATTCCGTGGGCAAATGCTGCACCAGTTGGTGGGTAGTTTATCCCCTTTCAATCATCGCCGTGTTAAGGTCATTCTGTGGATGGACGAAATCCTGCACTAAATTGAAGCCATGGCAAAACATTGTTGGTTGGTATTTACGCATAGGGGAATCATCATCATTCCCAAACTTCCTTTGGTGCCATCTACTAGGTCCCCCAGTAGTGCCCTTTTACCCTTTTTTGGTTGGGAGGGTTCCCCTACTAAAATAGACTGCAGAAAAAAAGGGTACCTTTGTTCTAACCTCTCTACTGGAGGACCTACTCTATGTGACCAAAAGCACATCAATGTTTAAGGTGAGCGCAGGCCAGACGACCCTCGCCAGACTTCGCCCTTGGTGGGCGACTTTTCCCACGTCGCCAAAGCGAACATATTTCATCTAGGGCAGACTAAATGGGTGACAGTTCTTGAGGGTATCCGTTTTGGGGTCACTCTAAATGGAAGCCAAAGGGAAGGGGTGGGGGGGGGGTTCCTCTATTTTGACAAAGCTGAATGGGCGTGTCTTTTTCGAGGGTGTACACGCGGTTTTGTGCAGTTGGAAGGAGAGCCAACAAGCAAAGAGCACAAACATGAAACATCATCTGAACGCTTTTCTCTGTTTCTTTTGGCCGCCAGGGAGACCAAAGGCCTCCACATAAAGGAGCGGTTCGGAAGGAACCGTTGACAGGGGTTCCTCGATTTCCATTTGTTTTGGGACTTGCAAGAGCGGCATGTTCACTGGAAACCCTTCAAAGAAATCCAGTGACCACCCCTTCACAGGACCTGGCGCTCCATGGCAGACCACCAGATGCGGTGGCCCGGCTCCCGGAGCCGGGGCAGGGGGAGGGGGGAGGTTGGATCCACCAGGCGGATTGGAATGAACCGCTTTCTGCGTTGTTTTATTTTCCGGTGTCCCCAGGTTGTTTTTGTACCAGGTGTTCCGCCTTCTCATGCTCTTTCAGGAGTCTTTGGCCATTAAAGAACCTCATCCAAGCCGTTTCCTGGAAAGTAGGTGCCCAACGTGGAGTCACCTTGCAGAAACGCTTAGATGTCCACAAGCTCCTATCCAGTCTTTTCACCACGGTTGCAACCTTATGGACGAAGCCCTACAAAACTGACTGATAATACACTACTTCCAACAGTATATATGACATATATATATATATATACACTGGTAAATCACCTGCACTAGAAAAAGCACCTACCAATTGACGCGAATTGGATTTTGTGCGTCCCCTGTCAACTCCTTGGCTCCGCAGCCATGTCCAAGCGTGAAGCCGATGACGCCGAGCCAAAGGAGCCGGAAATTCGGAAAAGCGCCACCCGGCTGAGATGGGCGACGAAAGTTTTTTTTCCTCCTTGGTTGTTTTGTTTTGTGTTTTTCCGGGGTGGAGTTTTCCTCCTTTTGTTTCTTCCTTTTTGTTTTTCTTGTTTTTTTTTCTGGGTAGAGTGGCGTATCCTTGTCTTTTGGAGTGGCGCATCCCTGGTGTCCTTCTTTGTGTGTGGGGCATCCTATTTGTTGTTTGGGGTTGTCGTCCTTACCATACCCCAGTTGTTTGGCGGTTTTGAACACAGCTCACATGGTGCTGGTCTGTAATGCCACTGGCTTTTTGGGGAATTCTAGGGGTACCTTTCCCGTTCTTTCTAGGGATCCTTAATTCTCACTCAACCAGGTTGGAAACGGATCCGGCTTTCGAAAAAAAACGATGATTGAAAAGAATGGTTGGAATCACACCCTAGATTTTTAGCCGTGTAGCTGGTTTAAGTGGTTGGGTTTCCATTTGACTGGCTAAAAGTTAACCCGGTTGATTCCCCCCCATTCTTCAAGCCACCCCGAAGCCTTTTCTCGGCGGGTTCGCAAATTTGGGAATGGCAGCCCCTCACTTGGAGCGATGGTGCCGGAGTGCCGAACCGGGAACCCGTATAATATACCTGGTCTCAACATCGCCTTTTACCTGGATCGTGACTTAGAGTTCTAAGTTTGCTTACTTGGTTGTAGTTTCCCTAGTAACCAGAGAAGTGGTAGGGATCTACAAATTAAGTTGTAGGGAAGTTCCTAGTAACCAGAGAAGTTCCAGTGCAACCGTGGTAGTTTCCACTAAACCACTACAAGTTGTTTTAGCTTGTAGCCCAGTTGAGCATGACAAGTAGTTTGAGGTCATCACAAAGGTTTCCAGGCCGCTACGAGGCGGGCCGGCGTGTGAATCTTTAGCAGCAGGTGCAAAAAGCCGAGCTTTTTCAGCAGGCAATCGCCATCATGAAAGTGGAGCATGTCGAGCCTCGTGGCCAAGGCCAGGACAGAAGCCGCGGAAACAGCGGAAGCCGCCGACGCTGCGGAGGCCACGTTTCAGCTGCGCTTGAAGATGCTCGCTCGCAGTGGCTTTCCCAAAGTGCCAGCTCCAAGAAAAGACGCCCACTTTGTTGCTATGTTTCCTCTGGGGGCCTTTTTGCGGACATTTAATTTGGTCAGATTTGTGTCCACCAACCATCTTTTGAGGGGTCTCCATGAAAATCTGCGGGTTTGGAGTAGGGGCAGCTACGAGGTGCGCTCCTAGAGGAAGGCGTGGCCTTTTTGTGCGACCAACTCGCTTCTTATGGCTCTCTCATGAACCCCACAAGACGAGACCAACCTTCTGCTCTGGGAAGAGCAGCCGTTAAACAGGAGTGCATACACTCGCAGTCATTCATACACTTCAATTTGCTGAAATGAATATGGTTTATTTTCCCTTGTTCGAATGTAATGTATCACTACTGGATATTATTTGTTCCAGGGGTCGTGTCTTAACCAAATGGAAGTACAGGAGGCTGGGAGGAACCCAAATTTCAAAAGTGTTGCTTCATGTCCAAAGAAACAGGACGCAACCAAACATGCAATCGCCCAGGCTGTTAGAGCTTCTAGTGTCTAGTGCCCACCCAAAAAAAGCACGACGTACCAAGTCGACATTTCGGCCCAACAGCCGGCCGTCGTTGGCCACTTGTGCAAAGAAACACGGCGAAAGCAGCGCCAAAGTGGCCAAGCAACAATTCCTTTCTGCGGGTTCCTGTGCAGGGGTACTTGCTTCTTGCTATTGTTTACCAGTTGCCCCCTTTCCAGCAATCTAACAGTCATTGAGTCATTGAAGACGATCGGGTTGAAAGCCAAAGCTTTGCTTGGGAAGCGCTTCCTTGTCCACTTCGGAGTAGAGGCCTGGGGTCCAACATCAGCGGGTTGAGTTGAACTGCGCATTCCCTCCATTTCGGACACCTAAGTCATCTAGCCGTGTGCCTGGGTTGAATGGGAACTTCCGCATGAGGGGTTCTTGTTTTACTGCTTTGGGGGGGGGAGAAGGCGGTAGTTCTGACACTTGGAACGTGCCACCAGCTTCCAACCTTTGTTCAGTCCCACGAACCAGGAGGAAGCAGCCCCACGAACCAGGAGGAAGCAGCCCCACGAACCAGGAGGAAGCAGCCCCACGAACCAGGAGGAAGCAGCCCCACGAACCAGGAGGAAGCAGCCCCACGAACCAGGAGGAAGCAGCCCCACGAACCAGGAGGAAGCAGCCCCATGAACCAGGAGGAAGCTGGGGTTGCAACCAAGGGTTCTCCAGTGCTGCGTGGACCGCCAAGAAGCACTCGCCAGTTGCGTAAGGCGGCCCGAGTAAACTTCAAACGCCCATGTGGCTTTCTGTGGTTGTCCTCAGCGCATTTGGGTGTCCATGGACACAGATCGTACGACTGTAGGCAGGGGCCATTTTGAACATCACATGTGCATCCCCTGTGAATCAGCTTTGGGGTTGCAAAACTCCTTTTTCAAGGGCTTTTGGAAAAAGACCGTCCCCCTCCCGCAAAAAACAAACAAACAAACAAACAAACAAACAAACAAACAAACAAACAAGCAAGCAAGCAAGCAAGCAAGCAAGCCAACAAACAAACCAACAACAAATACAATAAATGCAAACGATGTCAAAATGAGACAAACCTCTGAGGGAAAAAACGGCTGTCCTGAGGCTTCTGTCCGGCCGGGACTTGGTGGTGACCGCGGACCGCAGATGGACGGTGCAGCAGCTCCAGGCGACGATTTGCAGCGAGGGCGGCGAGGGCGGCGCGGGCGTGGCGCTGCTGGCGGGCGATCGGCCGCTGCAGCCTGAGGCGGGATTTGAAGCGAAGAGAGCCGAAAATCCGTCCCAATGCACCCCCAACCACTGCTTTTTCCCACGTCCAAATGAGTGTGGCTCAAAATTAAAGAGCTGGGGTTACGCGGGTTTTAGTCTTTGGTTCCATGTACCAAGGTGCCATTTTGGTCCCACTGTTTTGAGCCACAGCCAAATTTACCGACTGTCCAAAAAGCAGGGGGGAATCCTTGAAACCTTTTGAATTTGCCCTGACCTCCTGCGGTGTCTGGCTTTTTGTTGGCTTCCCAACCCACCGAGAAAAACCGATCCGGTTTGTTCTGGCGTGTGATCTCTTTTCCTGGTAAGTGCTTCTAGTTTTGTAGGTTGGGCTAGACAAAACATAAAGGGCGCGCTATTTTACGTATGGTGCCAGAATCACACATTCACACATTTTGGGTGAGAGACAAACAGCTGAGGGTAGGCTGAATGCAGCATGTCGGATTTTCCTCAAAAGAACCAGCGGGGAATGGGGCTTGAATTTGTCCATCCTTACTTGACACCAAAGCCAAGCAACTTAAACCTCCAGTGGCCGCATGTTCGATTCCCTGCAAAATGGATGGGGGTGTTAACTGGGCCACTTTAAGTCTCATTTTCCTCATTTGCAGCCTGGCACTTTCGCCGGCGATGGGAACCCTCTGCTCAACTTTTTCCGGGGCTGAGGAAGCCGGCGATTGACTTTGTGTTCTGTGTTGGGGCGCGATTTGGGATGCAGCAGTGACCCTTGACTGCCATTGGGTGGGATCTTTAGACGTTAACTTTTTGGAAAATAAAGGTGTTTTCCACTAAACCCCCCCAAAAGTTAAGCTTTTTGCAGGGGGGTCGTCAACAACCCAGGACCCTGGACACCATTTAGAGGAAGGCCCCTGCTTCACCGCGCTTCGCAGGAGCTCTTGGCTGACCTGGACACCGAGTCACTGGTGGCGCTTCGGCGTCCGAGCCCCACGCTGCACCTCTTCGTGCCTTTGACTAAGAAGACCCAGTTTGGGACGGGTGTCACAATATGGGTGTGTCTTTCTTTTTAAGGCTTGCTGCAAAGGGAGACTAAAGGACACCACTCATTTGGGCGACTTGCATGCGCGGTTTTGAAGGAGAACAGAAGACGTTTGTGGGACGGGGTCCCATTCCTAAAACAGACACACCGAAAAAGCACAGGCGTTTTTGAGGGTACCATGTTTTTGGCGGCGTTTCTCGGAAGCCTAAAGGGGAAACCACCATTTGTTCAACCAAAAAAGCACTTCCGGAAAACCGGTGAAGGGTATGGATGGGGATAGACAAGTGTAATACCAAGCTTTGATTAACTCACTGTGTCAAGAAATCAGGTCCTAGAATTGGACACACGATTCCCGGACGTCAAAACAGGCATGGGGGTTCCCACAAAATCCAGGGGATATGCCCTAAATCTCTAGAGAACATGTAGTCATGACCGTGGCTCACTTGTAAACACCAAGGCTTCAGAACCCTCTTAGAAGGGTGAGTAGGTAGGCTCATGATTGGCCCTAGTTTCAGGTGGTACATATTTCTTGAGGCGTTTGGGTTTTCTAGAAGCAGCCAAGTGTCGTGTGCTTTCTGGTAGTGGACTTTACCTTGGGCTACTCACTTTTGCTTGTGCAGACCATGTGAATTACAGGTTTTGCTCAAAAAAACAGCGCGCTGAAGTCAAATTCT